TTAGGCCAAAGGGCAGAGTCACACACTCCAATGCAATAGCTCACTCCTGGGTTTGCCCAGTCAGGAAAAGAGAACTGACATCCCGAAAGACTCTCCTGGGAAACAGGTCATATTATTCAAAACAGAGCAACGCTTTCCGGAAGAAAGTGAAGTAAATTGCAAAAGATTAAATTTATAAAGTGGAGCAAATGAACTGATTTTTTTTTTAACTTAAAGCTTTGGAAAAGAAAATTAGGTACTATCCTAATCACTATTAGTTGGTTTTTGGTACTTTTTTGGCTTGTCTGAACATATTCCACCAAAATAATCATTTTAAATGACACTGGCTTTTACACACACTTCTCTTGTTGTTATAATCTCCATTTTAAAAAATCCATTTCAAATTACAGCCACAATTTGAGCATAACAATCCTATTTCATCTTTGGCACCATCTGAGAAAACAAAACAGTCATATCTGATAAATGTTAAACATTGCAAAATACGCAAATACAGAAAAACAAGAACAATTTCAGTACTAAACAATTAAAAGGCTTTTTGTGGATTATGATAAAGTTAGCAATTTACAATGAAATGTACACCATACCAGCAACATATAACGCATTTCCCACAAAACAAATATTCAGCCTCAGAATTTGATAGTATATCAGCCTGAATAAATGCTAAAAAATATCACGAAGCCCCTAACAGATTCTCCAGGCCTTACAGCTGGGGCAGCCCAACTGCTGTGCCAAGGGTGTGCCAGGGCAGCAGGGCACACCTGGCAGCCTGGCCTGAGGTCATCAGAGCCAGCCGCCTCCAAGCCCAGACAGCACCATCAGCTCATCCCATGTGCTGCACAACTCTGAGCATACTCCAGTGTTTCATCACATGGGGGGGCAGGCTGGGCAATGTTGCACAGATAAATCCTCCCAGACCAATCAGTATCCAATCTCTCTTTTGATCTCTAGAGAAATACTAAAAAAACAATGTTAGCTAACCCATCATTCTCACCCAAACCTGATTTCCCCCCCCAAAACAGGAGCTCTGACAGACTCAGTTCCCATTTTTTGGAAGACTTACAACCTCATAAAAATGGCAGCACAAGGCACCGCAACACTTCCTAACTTCCCATTACAGCAGTTACTCAAGAACAATTTCTTTTACTAGAGAAAACCATCAAATTGGCAAGAAAAAGACAAGATTCAAAGGAAGTTTAAAAAGAACTGAAAACGAAGAACAAAGCTAGAAAAGGGGAATACTGCCTGTGTGCCCAATATTTTTAATTTATATCTAACAACACATCTAATTGTCAGAGTAACTTTTCCAGGATGAAATCGTATTACATTGCTCCCCTAATTGAAATCCTTTAACAGTTCCTTAAGCCCTACAGGATCAAGTCCAAACTTCCTAGAATGTAAATGACACTTGGACCCAGATTTTGTCTTCTCCAGTTTGACAATCTCGCTTCCTGTCTCTACACTCCAGAATGTTCAACTCCCCAGCAACACTTGTGTGGAGTCAGACCTTCCCACCTCTCTCACACAGCTCCATCGACCTGGAGAGCTTATCCTGTGCAACACTCCACACTCTCTGCTCATGGGAACAGCTCAAACTTCACCGAAAAACAATAATGCATGGACTAGCAACCTTGCACTAAGGAAACTACTTAGGAATATCCAAAGCTGTGCAATATTGGCTTCGTACCTACTAAGTGCCAAGAACAGTGTTTGGCATTAGGAATAAAACAGTCTTTGTCTTCAAGGAATGTACAGATTCTCAGAGAAAGATGTAAGCAGATGAGCAGATGACTTGGATGCAGCTCCACGGGTCCCACCCTGAGGCAGCGGGGTGCTATGGAGAAAAATCAGGACTCATCCGCAAGTGAAGTGTTGTCTGGTGGCAAAGAGAAGCTCTGGGTGCCAGGAAACGAAACAGAAGCTGGCTTTTTTTTTCAAAAAAAAGTTTGTTTTATTGGTTGTTAGTATGTTTTAGATCTAGTTTTATCTTTTATGTCTTAACTGATTGGCTTTTTTTATTTTTTGAGTCAGGGTCTTTAAAAAGAACCTTACCACCTGGGCATGGTGGCGTGTGCCTGTAGTTCCAGCTACTTGGAAGGCTGAGGCAGAAGGATCACCTGAGCCCAGCAGGTCGAGGCTGCGGTGGCTATAAGCGTGCCACTGCACTCCAGTCTAGGTGACAAGAATGAGACTCCAATTCAAAACAAAAAGAAGCTTATGTGTGAAGTAGGAGTTGAACTTTATTCTAATACCAGTGGTGAAACCCCTGATGCCTCGGTCATTCTTTGTAGTTTCCCCTTCCTTCTTCACAAGAAACACATAGAAATAACAGACAAAATATAGAAACAAATCTCTAAAATGACAAAGTTATGTTCCCAAACATGTTAAACATCTCTGTGGACCAGAAATCTAAAAGGAACATGTAGCCAAGCTGAAGCCACAGGACTCTGGGTCCTGAGGAAGAGCAAACAGTAGGAGTTTCCATCCTGTGGGGTAACTATAAATCACAGCGCCCCCCACGAAGCAGGGTCAGTCACCAGGCTCTGTTCTTAAAACCAGAGATGGGGGTGGGGGTGGTACACTTCCTTGATTATGAAACTAGACTGAAAAGGCTTCTACTAATAGTGCTGAGGCCACAGTTTATGGGAAATTGCTGACCTAATGCCAGCTGACTCAGTGACTGAATCTGTGATGTCCCCAACGTCACCACGGGGCCAGGGCTCAGATCCACTAACACAGACCTGATTCTGATCTGGAAACTCCAAGGCCAGGAAGAGACAAGGACAGATTTGCTAGACCAGGAGGGGGGAGAAATTACAGAATAGAGTGGGAGACACGGGACAAAGAGAAAAAAAATTTCCATCAGAATGTGCCTGCAAAACTACAGAACATGATGAAAACACCAACCACATCAACAATCACAACATAAATTCACTACAGACAAAATTTTAAAATTATCAAATAATCTGAAGAAGACTTTAAAATAAGCATGTAAAAGATACACAAAGAGATCAAGGAATAACAAAAGAACATAACAACTGTTTTCCGCAGAAATGGAAAAGAACGAGTGGACACAAAGAAGAACAAAATGAAAATCTTTTAAATGAAATATAACCACTGTAACTTAAAAATTGGCTCAGCCTGTAACTCTAGCACTTTGGGAGGCCAAGGCGAGTGGATTACCTGAGCCCACAGGTTCAAGACCAGCCCAGGCAACTTGGAGAGCTCGCATCTCTACAATAAATCAGAAATTACCCGGGCGTGATAGCGTGCACCTCTAGTTCCGGCTACTTGGAAAGCTGAGGTGAAAGGATTGCCGGAGCCCAGCGGGTTGACGCTGGGGTGGCAGTGAGTGTGCCACTGCACTCCAGCCTAGGCGACAGAGTGAGACTCCAACTCAAAAAAAAAACCCAAAAACTTAAAAAGCACCATGTGGTTCAGACACTATTGTCGCCTAACGAGTCCATTCCTTCCCCTGCCTTCATGCTCACAGGATTCTGGTCTATTTTAGGGACAGCAGTAGACAAGACACCATGTCAAACACTGAGGTTCAAAAATGAAAGACCCAGGGCACCAGTCCTTAAAAAAACTCACATCCGTACCCATCATGCCAGCAGAGTCCCAAAGTCACCAAGTAGAAGAAAGTCAGTTAATTTTCCAAAGTAGACATTCTTAAGCTACAATGCTTGCCATTTCCCTTTTAATTTCCATGAACCCTACCATCTTCACTAGAGCTAGCACTTCACATCAAATGAACATTCTTACAAAAGTTCATGAATGGGGCTGAAATAACAACAGCTGCTACACCGATGAAAAGCTAAAAATCAAAGACCACTCTTGCAATATTATTCTTAGTAGAAAGCACTCAAAAGTTTCACAATAACAACAGCTTCATTTACATTTGCCAACTGTCTAATTTTTTTAATTGCTGATGCAAAAGTTGCCCTATTTCATACTAAGGTAAATATAATCAATATGGATAGTATGTGATTTAATCTCTCTGACACTGTCTTCCAAAACGAAAAAGCTCACTCTATCCCAAAGTCTCCATAATCAGAAAATCTGCACTTCAAAACTTCCATAGGATCCCAGTTAGGGTAAAATCTCAATTCCTTCCTCACCCTCTAAAAGGAAACAGCACAAGACAGTAAAATCCAGCTCCCTTGCTCACAAGCAAAGAGGATCAAAATAGACAAAGAACATATTACATGTACCATCCCCTTACGACTGAGAGGATAAAATCTGTATCAAATTTGGTTAAGTCTAGGATAGCCTTAGTTCTTTGTTCCATCGAAGACACTGATAGAGATTTTTTTTTCTTTTGCTTAAACATAATATTAACCCAATGATTAAATTTCACACAACAAAACCTCTGCTAATTATGGTCAATTGCAATGTTGTCCATTCATATTTCTAAAGAATCATTTTCCAATGGTTAGCCAATAGAACATTGCACATAAGAGAACTAAATCAGGCTCGGTGGCTCAGCCTGTAATCCCACGCCTTTGGGAGGCTAAGGTGAGTGGATTGCCTGAGCCCGCGGGTTCGAGACCCGCCTGGGCAGAGAGACCTCATCTCTACAATAAATCAAAAAATCAGCCGGGCGTGGTAGCGCATGCCTGTAATTCCGGCTACTGGGAAGGCTGAGGTGGAAGGATCGCCGGAGCCCAGCAGGTCGAGGCTGCAGTGGCCAGGAGCGGCCACTGCACTCCAGTCTTGGCAACAGAGTGAGACTCCAACTCAAAAAAAAAAAAAAGAGAACTAAATCAGCCAAGGAGCTAACAACCCAGATTTCCTCCCCACATGTAACTTCTTACAATAAATCAAATGTCAAAAAGTATCTTCTTGTTTTGCCAGAAGCAAGGGCACAGTATTGGGTGGAACCAGATTCTTCCACCTCTGAAGAAGTGACATCATCCCAGCTTGCCCAGTAACATTTTTTTCAAGTACAATATTGCAGAGGCTCCTGAGATGGCCGAAACAAAACAAAGAGACACACTTACCCATGACTGGAAGCGTCTCTGTGAGTTGTCCCAATCAGATACTAAAGCAAATCCTGCTGTCCAAGGTTTCTCAGGGGAAGGCATGTCCTAGTCAGGAAACAAAGAGAAAGAAATAGTATTTTCTAAAGGTCAATATTTAAAATAAGGTTTTCTAAAAGGAAATGGGGAAAATAATTTTGTTTCAAAACTTTTCTACTATTTCCAGAAGAACCTTTGTCATCATCTATTAAGCATGAATATTGTCAGTCTTCAGAAAAATCATGATTCAATTCACATTTTCCTTTTTCTAAAGCAAGTTTCTTCACAAGTAAATAATATGTACAAGGTATTATATACACAGAAACCTATCAACAGATGTCCTTTGTCTCCAGTACAAAATACTTATTCCTTCCCATTCCCAACTAAATAAATCATATAAAGAAATCACTCCATCTAGGGCAAACACAGCACACATCACATCTGCTAAGTCTATTCTGACTGCATATAAATGATTTACAAAAGCCTTCAAATAAAGATCACCAAAGATATTGCTGTAGGCTTTCTCTAATAACGAATGTTTCCATCGTTATAAAAAAGTACACAGAAGAGCAAAGTACACAGAAAAGAAAATTCTGTTACATCTACCCAAGTATTTGGGACAGACTTTCTTTCCTAAGTATTCTAAAGGTATCATTGATAAATACTATATATAAAATTTTGTACTTGATTCTTTTCACTTAAGAGAAGAACATAAAGCATCATGTTGTGTTAGCATTAAAACTAACTTAGCCCTTTGCTAAAATTTTTGTTATAAAGCTCCTCCTCTTGATTAGCATATTTTTAAATATATTAATTCAGGCCTGAATGCTAATGCTATATTTAAACATAACCATGGATGGAGAAATGCTTGCCTAAACCTAATATATAAAATTCCCAAGTTAAGGTCAAACTCAATACAAAATGTACACTTGTGCTACATCATACACAACTTCCTTCATAAAGTGATAAGCTACTTCTTGCAATCACATAGGAGATGGCTATTTTCTAAATCAACTAAGAAAATAGTATAAAATGAAAAACTTTCTGAAGAAATAATGCTTGCCACATCTATACACTTTACTCACCTCGTGTAATATACATGAGAGTATATATACATTTACAAAATGAAAGAAGATTGCATCAGCATTCCTGTGCACAGCATGGCTCACACACTGTAATTAGCAGTGGTATATAATCACAGCGCTGCCACATAGTAATCACCTGACCCCCATCCCACAGACTTTCTTTATCTGTGCACTAGTAAATGATTTCCATGGCCAGATAACCCAATTATCCCAAGGAGATGGGAAGCACAGAAAAATCTGAAACAATATATAACCCACATGTCAGCTTTAGAACACAGGATGGAAGTTTCTAACAATAAATAGACATTCTTGATGGCACTTGACTGAGTCTATTAGACTTGCTTTTCCTCCTAGCAAACTCTGAAGTGGGCCCACGGACCAGGGGCATGCTGACTGCTGACAAGGAAAGGCAGTATCACATATACACGAAGGACACTAAATGCTCACAGATGGCCCAGGAGTCCACCCACATTTGCACTTGTAATTCTGGTCTCTCTGCTCAGGGATGTTCTCCTTGTTTATGTTTCCATACAAATTTTCAATCTTAAATTTTAAATTCTTAAATGGTAATATCAAAGCACCTTGTACTGTGTAGCACCCCTCCTGCCTATTAACCATGAGAAGCCAAACAAGTACTCATTCAAGGATTTAGGTTCTTAAGACATCAGGAGTTTTCTCAGCACTAAAAACAATAACCTCAAAAACACCAGGATGATAAAGCTTATTAAACACTGGATTTATAACCTTACCATCTGAGGTACACAAGTTTTATAATTTACAAACTTATAGTTTAATGCATGTGTTTGAATTAATGTAAAATGCCATGGAATAGAAACGTATTTATTTATTTATTTTTTTTTTTTTTTTTTTGAGTTGGAGTCTCACTCTGTCGCCCAGACTGGAGTGCAGTGGCTGCTCCCGGCCACCGCAGCCTCGACCTGCTGGGCTCCGGCGATCCTTCTCCCTCAGCCTTCCAAGTAGCTGGAATTACAGGTGCGCGCTACCACATCTGACTAATTTTTGATTTGTTGTAGAGATGAGGTCTTGCCAAGTTGCCCAGGCGGGTCTCAAACCCGCGGGCTCAGGCAGTCCACTCACCTCAGCCTCCCAAGGCGTGGGATTACAGGCTGAGCCACCAAGCCCGGCTTAGAAACATATTTATAAATGACATAACTAAAGTCACATGTTCGAGACTCCTTCCACTAATTACAGCTTTAAAATGCAGATCCCACTTTCAAAGAAGGTAATCCACCAATTCTTTTAACCACAAGGCAGTTTAGTGGCACACAAGATAAAAGGTTCAGATTCCCTTTCTCCACCCCTAAAAGCTACGCGTCCCACTGAACACACAAAGAAGAAAGAAGAACCACCTTACTTCTATTTTTTCAAACCATCCAGTAGGGAAAAAGTAATTTGTCTTAAATTTCACATACAAGGTACACTGGGATATTTCTGCAAAATATGGCCCCTTTAACCTCATTTTCCAGGCACTCTGGGTTTGGGAGCACAGCATATGACTTGGGAATGGTTCTAACCGGAGGTCTGAGGAGCACTGAGTTGCTGCCCTTCCTGGGCTCCTCTCTGCACCTTGAGAAATGCACACCCTGGATAGCGCTGGCCCAGAATGAGGAGACACCTGCATGTACCTGAAGCCAACCCACAGCTTATAGCCAGTGTCTGCTGTTGTGCACCCCCGAAAGTTTGCAGTCATTAATTACACAGATTATCGCAGCCAAAGATGACTAATACAGAGAGTAAAGATATTAGCTTCAATTGCAAATTAAATGTTCAAGTTAAAAAGACTGTATAAGAAAAATTCTAGCCAAATGTGATTCGTAGGAAACACAGCCAAATCAATAAGAACACAAAAAGGCTGGAAATAAAAGCATTACAAATGCATAACAGGTAGATACTAACCAAAAGAGACACATGACTAAAGAAACTCTTTCCCATGTGTGCTAGCATTTCTACTGAAAATGTCCATAGCAATGCTGTTTGTAACAGCACAAAAACTGGAATTTCCATTAGCAAAGAGTAAGTAATTATGTCATCTTTATACAATTAAGTATTAAGAATCAGTGGAATGAGCCATGGATATGTATATCAACAAATAAGTCTCACAAATATTATTGGTATAAACTTCTTATATATATATTGTACACCTATATAAATATATATACCCATATGTGATGATACCGTTTAAATAATGTTCCAAAATATGTAAAGGTAACAATATAATGTTGAGGGATATGCACATACATAATGTACTTTAAAAAAAAAAAAAAAAGGAACACAGGACCCCCATACCAATGCTGGGGTGTCCTCAAGTCAGTGGCAGGATGGGGGTAGGGGGAGATGCCCAGGCAGGTATTGGCAATATTCCATCCCTTAAGCTGAGGGAGCAGAGGTGGGACAGACATCATTATGCTCATTTTCACATAACATGTTTTCTTTGAATGTGATAATCTTACAGTATTTTAATATAATAAAGCAAAAATTTTCCGGGAACAAAATGATTATAAATAACAATGACACTAATATATGTAACCATATGCACAAAGGAGTTAAATGCATTTACAACATTTAAGCCATAATTAAGAGGTGTAAACAGTTATAGCGATTCATCTATTCCTTAAAAGTAAAAGATAAATACAAGTGATAACGGGTTCCACCACAAACTGCAAGATGCCTTTTATATGAAAAGACTGATGACTATACCTTATCTATGTGTAGAAGCAGCTGGCTACCCAAAGAGCTGTATCATTTGTGCTGTCTGATCTGTTTTTCTAAATTGCTACTTGTTGATCAGTCCTCCCCTCCCCCTAAAAAAGCTTAAGAAAACGTCCTTCATTGATGCATTATTTGTAACAGTAAGAAAAATTATAAACCACGTAAATGTCCATGGGATTGATGAGTGAATTGTTCATTTACATGTAATGGACTCTCATGCATTCAGTTAAAGCATCTCAAAGAAATTTAATGACAATGAACGAATACTCTACAATGTGCTTTTATGCAACTTTCTCATCATCTCAGCAAGAAATAACTGTGAGAAATGATGACTCAAAGTGACACCTTCATTTCCTCAAAAGCTTACAAACCAATACTTAAACGATTAGTGTCACGTGTTTACATGTACAACAGATAACACAAAAACGTACTATCATTCAATAAGCATTTACTGAGTAACTATGAAAAGTCACTGCAGACACAGTCATGAGCAAAACAAAACCCTACTACCATGAAATTTACATTACAGTCAATCTAGTGCCTTCAGATTCATAGTTCATTAGTTCCAATATATACGTCAGGGCAGATTCCCAGGTGCAGGTTGAGCATCCCAAATCTGAAAAATGGAAACTTTTTGAGCACTGAGGTGACTCAAAGAAAATGCTCACTGGAGCACTGCAGAGTTCAGATTTGGAATGCTCAACTGATACAATGAAAACATTCCAAAATCTGAAACACTTCTGGTCCCAAGCATCTCAGAAGAGACTCAACCTGTAATATTTTCTCATTCCAGATAAAGAAATAACTTCAGCTAATATGAAAGTCATTATTCCTTAACACAGGTCTCATCACTCAGTTCTTGTGCTTTCTATAATACTCTTCTATAATACTCTGAAACACAATGATAAATCACCACAGCTTTAAATATTTCCTCAGCACAAGAGAAGCAAAGCAATCTTCTGTTATTGCTAGAGTAAAAGGAGGTTTGTTTATCCTTTTCACTAATCCAACAAAGTACTTCCTGCTAATAAGATCAAAGAACGAGATGGGCCTAAGAGCAAAATGAGAAAATCGGTTGGTTTCATCGGTTTGTTTACACATGTATGTTAATGAGGCATGAGATAAGAAAGAGGTCAAATTTCCCCTTCCACAGGTAGAATTTAAGTTAGGTATCCAGAAGGACTCATCGAATTCTAGTAGCTTTATACTTACTGGTCAACACATCAATTTCCAGTTATTTAGGAAACAGATGTCCTTTTCAAG